TTGCTGGTGAAGATTTATTGACGTAGATGGAACATAGATGGACTATCAATGACTGTCATGAACTTACATTGGTGATATCTAAGGATTGAGATGTCGATTTGACATCCCAATAGGTCATTCTGAACTAAGTAGTGGATCAATTTTGCTAAAGGTGTGTCAGGTATTGTCAGGTTGCAGTGCGATGTATCTTCTCTCCATAGGCCATGGGCAATGACTGTCCCTGCAGCCAATGATGGCTTCAGATGCCGGACCGGCGGCGATGAAGAGCATGATTGCCAGCTGCAAATACACTGCAACGATTTCGAAATATGTCAATTCATATGGCTCACTTGATGGTTTCGAATCTACATCAGAGAGGTTTACCAAAAGGATGCATACATATATTATCATATATTAATATACATATATATATAAATCTAGTCTAATCTAAATCTAATACTCTTAATCTAGTCTAATCTAATCTAACCTAATCTAACCTAATCTGATCTGATGTAATCTAATCTAATCTATCGTATTCTAATCACATCTAATATCTATACGCCAGCTTTCAAAAACACAACTGATGTTCCATCTCCAACGGGCTCCACGTAGGAAGCTGGACGCCATGGCAGGGCGAAACCTGGTGCCATGGCGGTCATGGCCGACAGGATTCGAAGGAACAAAGCCATCCACCAGTTGGGCCTGACCAACAACTGGCAAGGACTATGAAGGGCACGGACCCGAAAAGGTACCGAAAAAGATACTGAATCACTGAATCATTGCATGGACTTGTGGGAAAATTTACAGGAAACCCAGAGTTTTAATGGTAAACACGGTAAACACCATGGTTTCCTGTAGATTTAACCTTTAAACCATTTTAAACCAATCCAATGACGCCACCAAGGTCACCATAATGCCATAGGTCACATAGGTCACCTGAGTGCCTGATGGGATAGTGATGAGACATGGGAATTGAGGATATAACCAACAGAAGTTGAGGACGTTGTACACTACAACTTCAATCAACTTCATGGTTGAGCGGATGGCACTGGAAGGAGCTGTGTCAATGTTGGGAAGCATGAAGTCAAGCTCCATGCAGCCTGATGTCTTCAGCCCCTAGGTTGCAAGGTAGATCACGTGAAACAGCACATTGAAAATCACTGAGTCGGATCTTTCTAACGTATTCCATTCAATCATTTAGTAATATACAACTAAAACTCCCAATATCTTTTCGGCATATGATTGAGTTTGTTTGTCATTTTTCATGACATTGGATGAACTATGATGAAATTGAAGTAATTCTATGAATTGAAGTAAGCCTATTCATCCCAATATCCTATGTAATTCTGAGACATTGGATGAAGCCATCTCAGGCTTCAGCGCGCTGAATTTCTGCCGCTGGGATCATGCCACGCTTCTGCTTCGAAGCAGCCCATCACAGGTGGGCGGTTGGGCTACCCATGGGTTACCATGGCTTACCAGTGAATTTAAACATTTAGACCATTTAAAACCAACGGAATCAATGGAAACTTCGCCAATTATCTTCACTATTTCTAGATGATGTATGACAATGTATGACATACGTGCCGTTTATGTGCCGTTTATGTGCCCATTATGGGAGAAAAAGCAGGACTTGGGTGGATGTTCCATGGCCATGTGCAGGACTGCTGTAGGGCAGCTGCTTGGCCCACAGGTGACTTTCAATGCCGCTGGTGGTGCCTGTGGCAGAGACAACGTTTGGCCCATGGCAGCGCAGCTTTTTCAAGAGCTTGGTGAGGCGTTTGGCTTTCATTTTTTTTCAGATGTAAACGCGTCAAACATGCAAAACCGGCACATCTTGCAGCAGTTTGACACGTCTATTTGTTGATAATGTGTTGATATACGGTTCCAATATGCAGCTGTTCCAATTTAACTGGCAGTCCGGCCATGTCCGGCCATCTTGGAGCTGACTAGGCCCTCCTGGAAGCGAGTGCCATAAGTTTTGGCATGGCGATGGGAAGCGTTGGTGAACACCACTGGCGCCGAGCCTTCCAAGTTTTGCAGGAGCTGACAGCGACATTGGAGCCCAACCAGCTACCTGGCTCCGATGGGATGTGGTTGGAACATGTTGGAACCAAATTGGAAGGAGGGGTTGATCGACTACAATGATGTTCCAATGGTTATCCATAATTTATGGTTCCAACATTATGGTATATTATGGTTATCCACAAGTTATGGACTAGCATCAATTCAATGATTACAAAACTGTGATCCACAGTCTTGTGACGACAGACATCGATTATGATATATTTTCCCACGGATTCTATGGGCCATGCTATGCCAAGCTGGGCGATCCTTGAGGATTATCATGGGCAAAGCCGCCGCCTGCTGCGAGATGCATGGGTTGTGGAGATTGGCCTTGGGTTTATTGAAGGAAACTCCAGGGGTTGAAGAATTTGCTTGTGGCTTCAGGTGTTTTGTCAATTTGTATGCTCTTTACTTGCCAAACTTTGTATTGATGCTAAATCTAGAATTGTTTAAAATAGATAAGAAAAGACAGACAAGGATCCTGTCGGGTATTCCCAGCAGGAGATGGCTGACGTCCAGTTGAAGATCAACCAAATCATTACCAGCACCGTGCTTTCCGTACCCTGGACACCACCAGAGCTGCATGTTGAAGATGGAAGCTGGATGAAGCTGGTCCATCTGTCTTTGATGCATTGGTGATTTTCTGCTACCACATCTACCGCGTTTTTAGTCAAACAAGTATTATATACAAGCGAAAAAAGGATGTCTAATGTCATCGTCTTTCTGCCAAAGTTGTTTTTGACCTACGCCAAGTCACATGGAGATGCATATTCGCTGATATCTGCTGATTGCTGCTGGTAGCTCTTGTTCATGCCATGCTCAAAACTTGACTAGATTGCCCTTAAATTGACCATATTGTGGGATGGCCATCAACTCCTTAATAGGCCGTATAGTATATATCATATATAATATCAATATAATATAATATAATATAATATATATATATCATATATAATATCAATATAATATAATATATATATATATATATTATTATTATTATAATATATATAAATAATATATTATATATCTCTCCCTCTCTCTATATATATATATAATGTATCACTATCTTTTCGGGATTCCCATGAGTGATGTTGGGAAGTCAAGCCATCAACATCCACCTGAGGTGCTGGAAAAAACCGGCAGTTGGTCCCAGGCCCTTGGACTTTTCCAACCGAAAGAGGCAGATCTCATCAGCCCCTTGGAGTCTGAGAAAGTCGGATGATCCAGTTATGATCCTTTTACAGCAAGCCAGCCAGTGCATCCAGCATATGCACATATATGTATTATATGTGTATTATATATATATATAAAACTATACATACTCATATATATATATGCATATACATATGCTTGCAATTTTTTATCCATCATTTTTTTTGACTTCTCAACCGGCACAAACGTTTCCTGATCCAGCTTGCACAGCTTGCAGGCTTCAGCGCAGCCATCCGCACGGGCAACACGACTTCCAAGCGGCTTGGCTTGGCAGAAGAAACGAATCATGGGATACCTATGGGTACCCTCTGGTAAACCAACATTTTGCTATGGAAAATCATCATTTTCAATGGGTAAATCTAACTATAAATGGCAATTTTCAATAGCTATGTCAGTTTACCAGAGGGTATCTAGGGTTTCCGAATGAGTTTCCGAATATTTCAAAGTGGGATAAAGTGGGATGACATGGCATATTCGGATGTCACGTAGCCTTGCCATCCGGAATCATCCCTTCGAAACGAAGCGCTGGCAGGTGGAACTTGGCACAGACCTTTCTGCAACTTATGCAGCAGCGATCTTTGAAACCCAATATGGTGAGCTATGGTTCCTCAGATGAGATCTGCTTGTCGCAATGTCTTTTTTCAAAGTCAGAACCACCTCGCAGTGACCTGACTATGGTATACTATGGTGCTTTATCGAGCAAATCAACTAAACCAACCCACAGATGCTGCATAATTACTCTAGGTGCGTGAAAAATCACTGATGAAACCCAGGTGCAGCCATCACTGCTTGTGAAAAATCCTGCCATTGGCCTGTAGCCTTGGCGATTTTGTGGAGTTTCTTGGCATGTTCGCTCCATTTTTTGGGCGTGATATGACATCACCCACGAAAATTTGCGTGAGCGAAGAGAACCTGGCATAGGCATCAGGCCCGTAAGGCATAAGATATTATACACACATAAAAAAATCTGAAGCCAAAGCAGTTGGTGGAGTGTCACTCCAGTTTCAAGAGTTGGTGGAGTTGTCATGAGTTGTCCATAGTTGTCCCATGGTGGACCGTGTTGGACGGTAATGTTGGACCTCATGGCCTCGAGTGACTCGAGGCAACATGAAGTCGTTGGAGCGCAACGCCGTGAGTTTCAATGCAGCGATCAGCGCCTGTGAGATCCTTTCCAGCATCAAAGTCCAAGGAGTTTACCATCTGGTTATGACTAACATAGCCATGGGAAATCACCATGCTATTAATAGGTAAACCATCTATTTCTATGGGCCATCTATACCATGGCTATGTTAGTCATAACCAGATGGTAGGGGAATGAAGGATATACCAAGGATCTACCAAGGATCCCGTTAAACCATGTTAAACCGTTTTGAAGAGACTGGCTAAGGGTTTGCTACCTGGTGCTACCTGGTGCTACCTCGGGTGGCCAGGAAAGCAGGGGAATGGCAACTTGCTTTGGCTTTGCTTGACATTATGCTGGCCAAGAAACTGGCTGACAAGACCCTTGCCTGCAATTGATAAGACATTTAGATCCAGAAGCCACTGAGCATTGATGTTTCCCTGTGGCAAAAAGATGCAGAAAGGGTAGCATTCAGGCAGTGTCAAGCAGCCTTGAAACATTTGGACCCATTTTGGACCCATTTTGGACCCATTTTGAAACCACTTAAGATACTTAAGGACATCCTTCAATGCTGCCATCAGCGCTGCCGAAAAAGCTCGGCAGTGGCAGATTGCTCTGGCACTCTTGGGAGATTTCGAGCCCGACACCGTTCCGGGCTCAAAAGGAGGGTGCGGCATGGTGATCCCATGCAGACTCCATGGGGTGCTATGGTGCTATGGTGCTATGCAGACTCATGCAGACTCATGCAGACTCATGCAGACTCATGCAGACTCCATGTTAAACCCGATCCCAGAATCCCAGATCCCAGAGGGAACAACTGTCGCAGCTCAGATCAGCTTCAATGCCAGCATCAGTGCCTGTGAGAAGTGCAGCCAATGGACCATCTCCTTAGATCTTTTGAAGCTCGGCATCGATGTCAAGTGACTCAAGTGCTGATGTTGGGTGTTGGGTGATTCATTGCATGGCCTTTTTCATGATGCGCAAAAATTTGGTGCGCCAAAGTCAGATGACCCACGGTATCCCATGGTTGAAGATACAGGATGATAGTGATGATAGATGATGATAGATGAAGATAGATGATACAGGACCAGTGAGACCTTCCGCATCGATCTGGATGAAATCAGCAACCCTTCCGTGGGAAATGTGGGGCTTCCCAGGAGCCTCGGATCGAGCCAAGTCCTTCGACCCACGGAGCCTCGGATCCGATGACCCCAGTGACCCCAGTCCCGTCTAAAAGACACAGATCTCAGAGATCTCAGAGTGTGGAGGCTCATACAGCCTCCAAGATGGTTCCGGGTACTGTGCATAAATCAATGTACACACACATACACACATATCTATATTATATACACATACATATATTATTTGATACATATATATATATATGTGTGTTCTTAAGTTTTAATTGGGTGTTTTCCTTTCTCAAGGCCTTAGTAACATGAACAACTAAGGAGGTAAGCTTCAGTGCGGCTATCAGTGCATGTGAGAAGGGGGGCAACTGGCCGTTTGCCTTGTTCCTCCTGACCCTTGGCGTAAAGTAAAGGATGCATCACAGGTCGGCATCTCTCCAGCATCAAAATATGTCAACATCAAGCGTCATGTGATAGTTCATAGATGTTCATCGTGTTGCCAGCTTGACAAAATTTTGTGGTTCGTCAGGAATCGGATGCCGGAAGTGCATCTTTCGCCGAATGAATTCAGTTACAGCGCCGTGCCGCAGCTCAATTTCAGGCACGAGGCCTCCCTTTGGCCTTTGGCCTCCCTTGAGATGTGCAGGGAAAGGTGCTGCAGATGTGGCCCATTTTCTTCGTTTTTTTTTTCAGTTTAGATATCTTTGGCGGCCTTAGAGGTCGGAAATCCTGAGCTTTCGGTCATGGGACCGATGGGCTGGTTGTGCCTTAGGTTGTCACTGCCTGTGGGGCTGCCTGGTGGCAAGCTGTTTGTTTGTTGCACCAGATGCGTAGAGATGAGGCTCGCACAACGAATCTGCGTTATCCACAGGTAGCAAACCCGCTTACAACATATTACAAAGATGGATCTTGAATTTGGGTTTTCCTATGTTTTCCTGATTCAGGCGGCTATTGGTGCCTTGATTCATTTCGTTGCTTCTTGCCCCAAAATGTGTCCTAGAAATTCCAACTTGGCCTTTGGCGGAATTGTTTGCAACCAAATCCTGCTGCCTGAAGCGGTTGACCGGTTGACCTATGAAATCAATGAAAATCATGTGAAAATCATGTGAAAATCATGTGAAAATCAATGAACATCACATGAAATTAGGGCGAAGCTGTCATAAAGCACGTGCAGCCATTCCCACCCATTCCCACCATTGACAGGTCGAGCCAGGTGGCGAGTTTCTGGTGTGCCTGGCACGTGCCTGCGAAGCACTGCCGCTGCAAAGTCTGAAGAGTTTAGCGGATTTGGAGCATTGGACTCAGGAGCCCAGGATTTCAATCGATTTCAGATCAGAACCATTCGGACCATTCGGATCCAGGTTTTCAGGGGATTGGCAAAGGACCAAAGGAGTTGAAGATTTTCTTCGCATCTTTCAAGGGTCACTCTCTCCGCGCGAGGAGTTTTGCATGGCAGCTGCAGGTGATGATTTTCCAAGCAGCGGCCGGAAAACAATGGCAAACAGCCTGCAACCAGCATGCCAAGATGCCAAGATTGCGATGTCGCACTAGCAAGATCCTCTAAGTTTCGCCCAAAATCCAGATGCAAAATGAACGAGATAGCGATAGAGAGAGATAGAACCAGAGAGAATTATGTATATTAATAGATATGTGGTAGATATAATTACATGCATAGAGATGTAGATACTGATACTGTGTGATTTCTCTTCATTTGCTGCAGATGGGCTACCAGCTGGCTCAACCAGGGCTGCCCAGGGGGCCCAGGGGCACCTGGGGCCGGGGCTGATGGCGGATGGCATCCATCTCCGTGCCGCGAAAGGATCCCAAGGCCAGACTGCAGCTTGTGGCACTGGGGCCTTTGATCATCGATTTTTCAGGAAGATCTAAGCGAGCAAAGTGTGATGATGATGATGATGACGATGATGATGATGATGATGATGATGATGATGATGATGATGATGAGGACGACAACAACAACGACCACATAATGAG